ATTCCAATACAATGTTCTACAGTAAGGTGTTAAGAAAACATTGATCAGGATGAAGAGCTGAAAATTCGACCTTTCATCTTCTCGTTCTTTTCATGTATTAGGGACATCAGGTAGCATTTTAACGTCCTACCTGTTCAGTTCACCTGTAATATGCAATACTGTGATTACTCAGTACTATGGTATCGCCTGATGCAGACGTCACAAACTAGGATGTGCAAGAACACACTATCATTAATCTAACTTCATTAGTACTGGAGTATACAATAACCTTTATGTATCATCATCTCACTAGGTATGGACTCATCTGTGGTCGAGGATCTTTGACTTCGACCCGTAATGTCGAAGAAATTGCATACTCTTGTCGAGAACCTGGGTTCGATAGAAGCGACGTCATCATTGTGGTGTAACATAGACCCGACAATGCGATTGCGTTACATCAAAAAAAAAAAAAAAAAACAATCTTCCGACCCGTTCAGGCCCTTACCCTTGATAAACCACATTATGAAAGTCGAGTACCCCGATTAAACGGGAAACGTAATATCGACTAGTCACCGGATACATAGGAATTCGTCAGACAGGTATATTACTGGATCGCAGAAACATGATCTGCAAGATCAGTCAGCAGAGGAATGTGAAATATTAATATAACGTTAATATGTAGCGAGTTTACACAATATAAAAGAAAAGACACAATTTCAAGATCTCTGCCTATTTTCATTTTTATTAAACCTTTTCGAGGTAGGCTACAGGACATGGGGTGGAAATACTGTTTGGTATACACTGTAGTCAAGTCAGTGATCGTTATCAACATTAAGATTAAGTGTCAAAATGTGGCATATTTTATAGAACAAACTTTACAACGTTTTACCAACACAGTCAAATATTATGACTATAAGTCTTGTTGTTTTGACGAATTCTTCCAAACTGCCTGTAATACTTGACACGTTTGACCGTGACAGTGACAACTTATGAGTAATGATTTGAAAACATTATACTTAAACTCGCATCTAAAAATACAAATAAACAAAACAGAGGGTCGAATCAAGAGCTACTGGTTCGGTCGGAGGTTTAAGTTTGGTTCGGTCGGAGGTTTAAGTTTGGTTCGGTCGGAGGTTTAAGTTTGGATCGGTCGGGGGTTTAAGTTTGGTTCGGTCGGAGGTTTAAGTTTGGTTCGGTCGGAGGTTTAAGTTTGGTTCGGTCGGAGGTTTAAGTTCGTCCTTATATCTCACTTATTCGGTAATGAAAATTACATGTAAGTAAAAAGGTATAAATCTATTGATGGTAAAAAACTGTATCGCAACACAGGTTGTGCATTTTGGCGGAAGACTCTAGATCAGGTATAATGACAATATACTGCAGTAGTGGTAATATTTGAGGAAGATTTAATTCCGCTATATTCGAGGTCAATATACATAACACGAAATTAAATACCATAAAAAAAACATTTTAGCATTCCGTCAAATTCAAAGAAAATACCTGTTATGTATGTATATCAGAAGATAAATTAACGTTACCGAACCACGGCAACCTTAAAACATAAACTCTGTGAAACCAAACAATTATATAGTACACATAGCCAGTTGTATGAAGGTGTTAATGCTATGACTGTCTAGTCCTATATTCTTTAACACAGCATCAAGTACTGTTCTTACTTGTTAAACATTATATTCAGGAGTGGAAACAAATCCCGATAATAAAAGCTTAATCTGATGGAAAAGACACATCAATAGTTTTCACTGGTAGCACACAATTTATCATTAAATCTAATGTTTCAGTGATTTAGAAATGATCGGTACTATGAGGAGGATATCGCTGTAAGTGTCAGGTCGTGGTAACGAGTACACTTAAAATCCATTACCCCAGCACGTTTCCTGTCTTTATAAATTCATAATGCTCAATATGTCACTTATTACATTAAAACTACACTAAAAAATTAAGGTGTGTCTTCTGACATTTCCGTCTATAAAAATGAAACATTAAACTGGGATGCTTTCAGAAATACTACGTTCATATCTTCAAATCCTTCATTATAGAACTTTTAACAACCAGGTGTTCCAAACTAATATAACCTTATTGCCATCTAGCGAACAAGTGAAATATTGAGTTCGTAGAACCTGTCGTGAAGTGCATCCGAAGACGAAAGGATTGAGTTTTTGGAAGTGTAATGTTGGTTTTTATCCTCCAACTGGCACTGCCATTGTCGGCATACACCTGCCACATATATTTTTGCTGTATTCGACAGTGACAGAAAACCGCTGTAATTCAACAGAATTATTTTTTTGAATTTACTTTAGAATTACGATTAACTATATAAATAACTGATGAAATAAGTGATTTTATATGTTGTTATGATAAGATTATTTACGTAAATTAATCAAATTGCTGTCACATCCGTTGAAGTTTGGAGCTATATTTCTGCGTGGAACAATCATTTGTTTCGTACGTCATCGGGCAAAATTCAGCGTAACTTCAACGACAGGTAAACAAATATTGAACAACAAAATGATGAAGTTTTGATTGTCTGATTTTCAATGAAAGTTGCAGGATAAATAGAATACATGGCCAGTGTCTTAAAATATGAGCTGCATCTTGGCTCGGGACAGAAGGACACAAGGGCTCGTCGCTTTTTTCTTTCTTCACTTCGCTTAAATACAGCTGATATTTTAAGACACTGGCCATGTATTCTCTATGTATTCAGTATAGTACATCCACGGGAAATAGTTACAGTGCTATAATACCTCAATAATGTATCAACGTATTTTATATAAAGTCTGTTACACTAAAGTGCATCAAAGGTTGAAAGCATTAAGTTCATCGAAATTGAAAACTCCTTTATCTACTCTATATATATATTTATATATAAAGGGGTTTTCAATTAAATTTGTTTAAATTGAAATTGTTGTATGTATACAGAGTAGTGCATCACAGGACGTAAACAATGAGTTTGTTGAATAATTCGTGTATCCAAAGCCGAATAGATTAAGTTTGTTTGTGTCGAATTTGTCGAAAATGTAGTGTATCCCTGTCCATAAATGCTTGAACTTGTCGGAAAATTAATGTACCCAAACGTAAGTATATATGTATTATAACCTGAAGTGGTTGTTGTGTCTATTTTTAGACAGATTACTAATAATGATTATATTGATACATCTATAATAGACCACAAACATCAAAGACTGCAAGCCATTAGAGCAACAAACAAACAACTGTTTGTTGTAAGTATTTTTGTGTTACGTAAATAACAGAGTTATAAGCACAAATTTCCAGTGTTTTGATACCAGCATTTGATTGACGAAAATATAGTTTTTTTTTCGGTGAAATTAACAATAAACGTCGGCGTGATACACGTGTATATATATATACATTAAACGGTATCATACTTACGTTGTATGGGGGAATATGTTATTCATAACAAACGTCAAAGAATTTTAGAGATCAAACGTACATACAACATGAATGATGGATGAGTGCTGTGTGTACAGAAGCCCTGTGCTGTTATCTATTTCACGACAAAGAAAAAACACACACACACAATCATAAACTTCGTATTGTATGTACTCATTGTGCGTGGGAATCACTCATTCATAGTCATACATTAATTATATCCAGTCTTCGTGGATGACCAACAGATAATTGTACGTAATATAAAATGAATTATAAGTAGAGAAAGCAAAAATGCAGTAGGGTATCCCTTGATAGAGAGCACTGTGCTTTCAGGGATGCCATAGGTCTTTCTGTCTCTACAGTGTTACAAGTCGTGGAAAAAAGGGAAACGCTTAAAAGCTCAAACGCAATGTGCTGTTTTTTTATCCAAAGGCCTGACCTCAGATAGCCTGTTATTTTCCAACGATACACACTTGCAATTAGGAAAGGAAAGATGAAAAAAAAAGAAATAGAAGAGGGTCGACGCAATGTATAAAATGCTTGTTAAGATATAAATGAGTCAGACATGCTTCAAAGGAAGCATGCAATAAATAAACAGAGTTCGGAATACCTTTTTTTTGACGAAGCTATTTTTACAAAGCGATAATTAGGAACATAATTTCATCACACATTTTTCAAATTGGTAGATCTGCACATCCCCTCCTCTCAGCACGCCATAATCTGTTATACAAGGCTGGTTTGATTTCTCCACCAACTGCAATAAAAGTCCAACCTTGTATGCATCACCGTACATCTAAGTTGTAAAAAGTTCTAGAAATCCCCCAGGTACAAAGGTATAATAAGCTGCAGTCTGGTTGTTGTAATATGGCTAATGTATTCGGCTCAAACCAGCACTTGGGGGTATATAAGTTTAAAATTCACTGCTCACGTGCTGCCTCAAGGTATCACAACCGAATATAAGTCAACCTTAGAAAGGTGCAAAACTAAGATTGCAATCAGGAAATAATTGCACACCTGTGCATTTTAAAAAAAGATATTATTACGTGAGGTTTTATTTACCAACACGATGTAAGGGACTGGTGAAGTTACAGAAACAACACATAACAAACAGTGATCTTCGATCGCCTGGTTTAGGTAACATGGTTATATCTTATGCACTACAAATTTTGAAGAAAAAAAAAGAAATGTGTTTGAAACCCTCTACAGTCATTCACACAGAAAGAAGACATCGCATTATACACAAAACAGTGAACAGTCTAACTACTTTTTCGTCACCGTTGACCGATTTGACGCTTCCCGTTCATACTTAAATAACAATGTACCCGTCTAATAATATCCAAGCAGACTTCCCTATCCGATCCGGGCACTAAATTCTATACAAACGCCATTTTGTATTGCCGTAAACCTGGCCACGTGACACGCCTACAGAACGTGCGGTGTGTAGCGAGCAGACGAGAAATTTGCTATCATTAGAGAGCTCCAGTGTGATATACCTAGCGCATAATGTAATACCTGGGAGTCTCTATTCCACCTTTATGGGGATTTTACCTGATTCGATGTGAAAATTAAACCTGTTAACATACAATTTGGGTCCCAAGTGAACAAATTCAATCAAAATGTGGATCTATATGGTGTTTTTCCTTGGATTATCTTGTGCAGGTGAGTAGCCCGATATTCACAGGTGACGAATGTGAATTTTCGTATCATCAGAGCACATGTGTGTTCTAGCATCTTAAAACAAACATCATCCGTTTGAACTTGCAATATCGACATTTGATTTTCAGCATGCATATATTCGCCTGCTTTTCCAATATTAAACAAACTAATTGCTTAAAACAAAACATTTTCTCGGAGATTGAGTTTTTTTCGGTTTAACAAATGCAAAGGTTCCACTTAAACAATAGAAAATGTCAACCATTCGAGTAAACAGTCATATCATTGCCTATTTTGTATATTAATTTCTATTGATGATATACTCAAAGTCTATATTGAAACAAATCCATACAGTTATCAGATAGCTAAAGGTTAAACATCATTCTTCTCGGATATTCTCAACTGCCATTTATAGGATATAATACAACGCTACCTTTTTGTGTTTTATACAAGAAATCAAAAGATTATTTGTCGCATGTGCGTATTATACCGTACACACATATCATGCGCTGTGATGTTATTAACATGGCAATAACACTTGACCTTTACAAAGTGTTTGATTATCAAATCGGAGATAAAATTTGATTCAATTAATGATCTTCTCAGATACAGACGCCAAAACATTAAAAATATTTATATTCTTTAAAATGACATTCTCAGGGAACTGGCGTTCATTTTCGTATGAACTAGCATCGTGGAGTGTTATTGCCGCACTGTCTTGTATTTTTACTAATTTGTTTTTATAAGTTTAATGACGTAAACACGTGCCATTTTTATTGAAGGTACGATGTAACATCATACAATTGTCTATCATGTTCAGACAATCATTAAACAGTTGTTTTGTAAATGAACACCCTTGTCATTTACATGATTAAATTTCGCATGTAAGGATATCATTTTTGTGTTGTTGACGACAATGTCTCCATCATTGAATTCAATTAAAGTCTGAGTTACAAGGTAAACATAAGTCCGGCAAAGGTGTCTTGGAATTTGGCCTGAATTACAGGTATAGCCTACATCACACACACTTTATACAATGCAGGGTGTTTGTACATGACAAATATTGTAACGATTGTGTGAATGTTTACCTCAGGTCAAAGTAAACAATCTTAGCTGTGAGTAGTTAGTATACTCAAAGGCAGCTGTATACTAATGTATAGAGTGGCATGTATGTTTAAAGGTTTGAAAAAAACCTTAAAATAACGACTTCCCCAAATTTCTAATATTGGAGTTCACATTTCTATACATGATGTAAAGGGTTTATTCTAAACTCCTTATTCGAACAACAGTTTCCAATGTATGATGGATAACACAGTTACTGATATTTGTTCCTCGTGACATAATTGCATAATATGTATACGAACTCTTTATGGAATATATTCAAACTTGAGTTCTATTATGAATCACGTGATCAATAATTTTATTATTAAACAGGTACAACCCCATTCGTTAATCACCGTATTTCCAAGTTTAAAGACATCTGCTACCTATTGTATTAATTTTTCTGTAGATTACTTTATAATAGGTGATCATATATCTGTTAATCAACCTACAAGTTTTAGCGACCAAGTTACAATTTATCATCATATGGAAGCTTACCATATGTCAAGTTTTGGAAACAGCACGAACATATATGAAAATGTACTATCAAATACAATAGAACTTACTTAGTAATTCTGTGCATTATTACACGTCATTCGTTACAAATAAGCTAGAAACGTTAAACCATTAGCGTCAACCTAGAAACGTTCCATCCTTATCGTCAACCTAGAAACGTTCCATCCTTATCGTCAACCTAGAAACGTTCCATCCTTATCGTCAAGCTAGAAATGTTAACTTCTTTAGCGTCAATCTAGAAACGTTCACTCTTTAGCGTCATTTTTTTGGAACATTTGCCTTACTTTAATACAGTTATAAATACCAACACAAACACACTATAACATATGTGGCTGGGACGTCTTGATATTTTCGAGTGGTCTATTTAATTGATCTAAGATCTTGTGATAACAGTGACTCTGGTTTAAGATTTCATTCAAGTGCAGTCATTTTTAGACATTGTAGAGATTGCTGAATAGACAAGGATTGAATTCTGCCTTTGTGACCTCCTGTTGTGTACTTTACGTATATGTGTTCCAACACTTTGAAGTCCCTACTCAAAGCAGGTATGCCCTCACTAATAAATCAGCTTACACTCTACAGGTACATACAAAATGTAGATATCAGCGTTAAAACAACAGAATTCCAGTATGTGTTCATGTTGTGGGATAATATCAAGTCTATAAGCTATATTTTTCCCTTTGAGTGCCGATCTTTGTAACCAGTGAAGTACTACAACGTATTTTATATATCTGTCGGATAGCGTTCTGAGGTGAATTCCGACATTCGCTATTCTAATGTTTGCATAGAATATACATATTATATAAACGAAAAAAAAAGAGAGAACTGCTTTCTCAGCAGTACAGCAATCAAATGACGGACTTCATAAAACATGAAAGAAATATAGACAGTTTAGTATATAATGTTAGGAATAATTATGGCAAAAAGTACAAGAAATGGAGCTGTTGAATGAAAAACAGTCCATTTTTGCAGTGATTAATACTGTTCTGAGTGTTATGTTTTATCACTCGTAGAAAAAATGTTGATGAGGTTCACAGGCGTGCAGACGCCAAATCAATCATTAATGTTCACCTAGTTTTTTCATTCGTGTCAAACAAGTACCAATGCTTGTTTTGCGATATCTCGTCTTATGTACTGTACATGTGGATTGTCAGGAATACAACCGATTGATCTGTATAGGTTTGAACTTATCGACCTATTCACTCTGCAGAAAAACCCCAAATATTGACAACACGAACTTCAGGTTCATTTCTGAATGATTCTGTCCACTATCATATTTGCTCGAAGAGCATTTACTACGATAAAGAAGTACGAAAAAGAGTTTGTAACTTCTGAGGATGGCAGTATACATCTCATGGGGAACAGATCTCCGTCTTACTCGGGTACAAACTAGTTATCACTTTACCGTTTGAAAGTTAGTGAGCAGATTTTGTGACGTACATTCTTCAATGCGCTTACAAAATGATTGACTTATCGTATTTTTCAGTGTGTCAATAGTTTTTATATGAACATAATTATCCACTTTTAACTTTGTAATTTGATCATAGCTGAGAGATACGTCTAGTTTTTTCTCTATATAAACTCAATGTATTTCGATACTCCCATTAAGAAATGATTTCAAGGCAGTTCGTTTTTCATATGGTGATTTTCTCGTCATGACAACATATAAGGATGTTCATGTCAGAAAAACTAAATGAACTCATTAATTATGATTCACTGTCCTGGTACTGATGCATCATGTTAACTTAAGTCTATCCGAAGGCAAACCTGTGATACAGCCTATTTTGCTCATCAGTTATGGTATTACCTTCGTTGATACACGTGAAGTCACCAATCGTAATGTCAAAATTACATTTAACAATGTGACTTGTTAATTTCTTGAGCTTAATGCTTCTTTAATTGAAGAATGAGTCATACTCGAGACAACACATATAAATAAAATTAATTAAAATAATCTTTAATATTTTTACGGCGAGGAGATACACATTATTCACAATAAGTAGACAAACGGAATATATTAAAAAACGTATAAACTACAGGATATTTAAAACATTTCTAAATCGAGAAAGCTGAAGGACATTAGTGTAACTAAAATACTTCTCGACAGTATCATTTTTAAAGGTTAATTAATCACATTAATGAATAGAATTTGCATATTTTTAATGAATAATGAACAATTTAGAACAGGTGTAACAGACCGAATCCAAATTACGTAAACTGTATCTCGTAAACAGAAGGCATAATACAGTAATATATTTGTCTCATGGAGCATTGAAGTTTTAGTCTACAACATGTAACAATAACCATATTCTACTGTCATTTGAAATATCAAAAAGAATTTCCGAGTATTAAAAGAAAAAAAACAATAAAAAACTAACTTATTACGTAAGTCGCTACTTCATTTTTAATTTTGAGGAGTATAAAGACCGAGGAAGACAATCATTCTTCTAACTAGACATTGACTAAGATGTCAAAAGCGAGTCGTGAACCAAACAGTTCGTACTTTAGATATGCTGCCAGTTTTAGGTAAACTTATCCCCGGCAATGACTGAAAAAGGGTTTTTATTTGTCAGTGTATATATTATGGTATATGCTATATTTCCCCTCAAAAGAACATCACTGACTTAAGCTAAACTACTTTAGGTAATTAAATACAAACATAAAAACGATTCAGAAGTGGTCTAGAATGAAGGCTAAAGAGGCATGTGATTAAGTGGGAATGAAAATATCAACCTGTGTATTTTTCCAATATATAATTTATAAGTAGTGTTGAAATATATCATGCATCCTTTAGTATGAAAATGAAATATATGACAATAAGTAATGTGTAACCAGATAATTCTCAATTACAACTTCAAAGTACAGCTCTTAACCATACCATAGGGTAGTATACACAAATGAAATTTGCAATAAAAAGCAAAAAACCAAGATTAGAAATATGTCAATGTAATAGTTTCCAAAATACAGAGATAGCACAGCTTGCTTTAAAACGGACGACAGACCGCGAAATACGGACGAAATTTCTAAATTGTGATAAAACACCTAGTTAAGATAATGAAAAGAAAGGACAACACGAGTTCTTCATTAGAGATTTCTTTGAACGGCATCTTAATACGATGGATTACTTGAAAACCGTCAGTTGCTGATAGATTAAAGTACATGAAAGATCTAACAGTGAGCGAAGTAGTGGGTCCTAGTATATATGTTTATACAGCTTATCTGTCTCACAATTACAAGTACTTACTCTGCTTCACGTATCACGAAAGAGGTTCTGTACACACCACGAATCATCAAGTGTGGAGACTAAACACAAAGGCTCCATTGTATCTCAACTTTTACTAACATTATCACTTTCTTGCCTCTCTCCTCTTTCCATGTTTGTAGTAAAT